AAACTCTTCAGCAATTGATGATTGTCAGTTAGATTCTGGGCCTTATAGAGATTTGTGTATGTAAAGGCTAGTAGACTGGCACCTTGTAGTTAGCAAATTTCCTTAATTCCTTCAAAAGTAATAAAATAGGATGTTGAATAAAGGCTTCATTTATTTATTTAACCACCAATCTTAGTATAGCAGCCAAGTATCTAAACTTGGCATCTGAAACAACAGTTTTCAGCTTGTATTTTATCATTTACTTCTACAAAGCAGTAACCGCAGTGGAGCCCTGCCAGCGCATGCTATTCTTGCCAGGCCCAGGTGACTGACCTGCTCTGTGGAGTGAGAGGGAGTGCTACTCCCAAAGACTATTCACAAGTACAAAAGTGCACTGTCCCCCTTTCTTCCGCATCTTTCTGATTCACAAAGTTTGTGTTGCTTTTATTTCCAATCTTGACAGTTTTGTCACCAATCATTTTCATTTCTGTGCTGATGCATGGAAGATGACCACATACCAAACACTGCTACAGCACAGTGCTACTATGGGATGATGCTGGCATCACATGTAATTAGCCATTTTAATCTCTTCTTTTAATAGCTGGGAAGAAAACACATAGAATCTCTGAACAAAACAGCCTCAATTTTCATTTGAGAAAGGAAATAAAGAATGATTCATTCTAAAACTGTACACTCCAAAGGAGGAAGACTTGAATTATTAACAACTTATCTAAACGTGATGGGTGCTGACACCTTCATCTTTTATTTTTACTGCCATGCATTTCTTCACAAGGGGTGAGAGAATTTACACTACAGGAAGTGTTAATGGTTTCACGCTTTCTACCCATTTTTAGCTGTCTAATTTATGGAAAGCCATTACAAGGTGAGTCATTGCTTTCACAGGATTAGTGTGGCTGAGACAGAGTTTTAGGCGGTCCTTCATTTTTCATATTTGCTTGAAAGGAACAACAGACCCACAATAAAACAGAGTTCAGAGGCACTGCTCTTCTTGATCATATACAAATATTGCGAGAGATGCTCCTTGTCCCTGTAAGCTAACAGCTGAAAAAAACCAGTGATAGAGATTCATCTGCATTACAGACACTGTAAGTTGAGGTGTCTCATTATCCAGAATTTGTGCTTAATTGGATGGGAGTTAAATAGTTACAAGGATAATTACAAATAGAAGCAATAATGGGAATCCCACTATAAACAACTCTTCTCCTGCAATAGCTGTTGCAGGAGTGCATTTACTCTCTTCTTGATCTCAAGAGATTTGGTTAGATGTTCACAAATTACAAAAAAAAAATAATCACTCAAGCATAAGTGTCAGGGCTTGCCCTGATAGTGAATAGAAAGAGTAAGTTTTCCGTGGGTTGAAATACATTTGGGTTGTCTGTACCACCAGTGTAGCAAAATAAATTCAGCGTGTGGAATACTCAGGCACTGAATAAGGTGTAGGTCTCATAGCCAATGCTCTTTGTAAGGTCTGTTCAGTCTCCAAGAGATAGTAACAGATTAATTTTAAAGAAAATCTGGAAATGAATGTGTTTTTGAACTGTTGTCCTATAAACCTCTTAATTTACTGCAGAAGGCATGTGTTACCTATGAGGATTCATTCACCCAATTAGAAACTCTTAAACATCCATGTCTTTTTTTCTGCTACAGGTTTTCTTTCTTTTTTTTTTTTTTTTGGTACAAATCTATCTTTGAAGGTTGTTTGTTTCAGTTGTGTGCAGATTAGAAGCCTGTATTTCACTCCATAGCACATACCAGGTAGTCAGACTATCCATCCATAGCTTCAGAGTTGTCCTTGCTGGGAAGTCTGTTGTGCAGTTGGTCAGTGTAAACCTCTTGCTGGATTAACTTAAAACTACTGTCCTAAAGAAATGAAATTTTTATTTTGAGGTGCTATCTGTAAACAATAATGAAGTATCACTAGTTCTCCCTCTTTGTTTTCCACTGGAGAGTTTGTGGGGAATAAAATTAGAGAAATGATGTTACGAGCGATTTTTTGTTTAGAATTCTTTTTCTCTCCACAGTTTTGTGTTCTGTCAGCATCTTTTTTCTCACATCAGTTATCCTGACCTAAGAAAAAACAAACCTCTTTGTAATGGTGCTTGAGGATTGGTATGTTTGCTGTATAAATTCTGAAGCAGATATTGAGTTGCTCTAAACTGAAAGAACAGTGAAGCCACAAGCATTTTTTTCAGCTGCAGATTGTAATTTTATATATAAACTATCATTTGTTTTTCCTAGGATTATTAAAATACTTGGAAAAAATTAAGAACATAAGTGGAATATAAAACAGCATGCATAAAGTGGGCAAATGGTAAATTACTGGTGTTTGTTAAATGCTAAGTTGCAGATCATGTTAACTGCTGTACATGTAAGTCTTCGTTTGCTGCCATTCTCTTTTGAAAGGGATGTTATAAAATAAATCCTGAATGCCCCTTAAAATGCATCATCTAATTGATCATATGAGAATGGTTAGTCAGTAGTGTAGGCATGTAGAAAGTTCATTCATATTCAATCATCCATTTTATTTCAGCTTGAAGTTAAACATTCTTCAGCTGCTATTATACAGAAAGAGTTTGTTCTGCAGACAGAAGCCCACTGGAACTGCTGTTTGTAAGAAAATTCAAAGTGCTCTGATTATTGAGCTTTGAACAGTTTCACCACAATCCTGCAGGAGGGTTTTTTCTTAATGTGTTTGGACTAATTATTGTTATTCACCGGACGTACATATAGATTTTCAGGCAAAAATATTTGGAATTTTATTCTAAAGTTAAATCAACACAGACATTTGAGTTCGATGCTTTTAGTTGTACTTTCAAAATGCTCCATGTTTTCCGTGTTCTTATTGCATTCAGGACAGTTGAGACGGTGCAGAAGAAAAGAACAGAAGCAGCTATGTCCTTTGAGAGCTGAATGATTGCCTGCTCCTTTGTTGTATCACTTTTACTGAAAATGAAGCCTCTTCCTCTACCAGAGAACTATGATGTGTTAGAATAACAATAGCAAAACTAGAGGCTGAAAAAGAAGTGTATGGGTGCAAGGCTTTTAAATGGAGTCTGTGCTCTCAAGGAAGTTCAACTTATGTGACTGCATCTTCGCTGTTCTGCTAAATGTGGAGGAGTGTTGAAGACCTCATAGATACGAATTCCTAAATGTTGCTGCAATATCAGTAGCTAGGTAGATATGAGACCCAGATTACCATTTCCAGCTGAGGGAAAGTCTCCCAGGGAAGCTCAGGAGATCTTTCTGTCTCCAGCCATAGGTGTGGGGATGGTCCAGGCTTCACCACTAGCATGTGGAAGGGTGAGGAAGGGCAGTGGATGTGGCTGGAACTGGCAACACTGTTGGTCTTACAAAATGGTAGGGGAGGTAAGCTGATGGTACTTGTTTGACTGGGGAGCAAAATAGCAATTTGGGTGTGAATCCACGCTTTATTGGTTTGAGTCCTTGTGGAACAGTTCATAATATAGTCTGCAAATGTTTTTGTTGTTGTTGTTGTGTTGTTATTGTTGTTGTTGTTGTTTTAATTAATGAAATTGTAAGCTAGGACATAAATGGAATAATTTGAATATTGCTGGTGTTTTAGACAAGTGGAAGGGATAAGATTCAGTTTGGTACCAATAAAAAATCCTCCCTGGGGACACTCGCCACAAAATGGCAGAAAAACACAAAATAGAGAATTATGACAATATGTCATGAAAGTTCTACAAATAGGCCAGTGGATTGAGTATTTGTCCTGCTTTGATGCATTTTTTTTTCCAAGCAAGCTAACCTAGAAAGGATAAAAATAAAGCAAGCCATTACTAACAGACTTTTTTTTTTTTATTGGCACCTGTTACTGAATCTTGTGCTTCATTCTGTGGTAAAACAGAAATGTCTAAATGAATCCAATTCATATCTTCAAGGTAATAACTGACAAGTTAATAAAAGTAACAATTAGAAGACGCAGGTCTGCATCTGCTTTCTTTTGTTCAACTCAGTGCATTCGTTCATACAAGGCAGTCAGAATAGTTTAATGTCTTCTTCATATGTTCCTTTTTTTTCCCTTAACGAATTAAGTAAAAGCATTCTTTATTCTTGAACGTCGACAATTGCACCAGAAGACATCTAAAACGGTAAGGAGGAGTTATACCCTACTATTAGAAGCCCTTTGGACATGGCCTGATACAATGTGGAGTTGTGACAGTAATATTTTACTGTAATTACTTTCTTAAAATGACAGACCACTGCAATTGCTATCATTTTTTCAGTGTGAGTTAAACTCAGTGTGTGTGATTCAGGCATATTCATTTGACAGAATGCTCTGAATTTGCATGATTAGACAGCTTTTCATATTATGCAGCTCATCAGGGCATTTTTCCCAAGTAAAAGCCAAGCCTATGCCAAATTAGCTGCTTTTTATTTTCAAAGGTAGGGGGAGAATAATCTTACTGTGTTCAAGAAAAGTCTCTGACCTGTCTGCACATACATTCAGGTGGGTAGGTAAATAATATTTCTAGTTAGTTCTAGACATAAAATGGCATGTTGGAAGATTGAAGGCTGAGCTAAAGTTCTTAAAAACAAACAAAAAAAAAACCAAAATGAAAGTACAAAATGATACAACAAACCTGTGAAATGAAGGCATTCTCAGAGTATCTACCAATAACTAAGCATCCCAGAGTGTAACAATTTAAAAATGGAGAGAACAGCTCTGAATTGCAGTTGTCTAATATGTGCAGGCACTAAAATTTTTCATACTCACAAGTGTTTTTATTCTATATAGTCTGTGTTTATTCTATAGTTGATTCAGTCTATTCTATGGATGTGCTTTGGTTGGCCCTCACTTATGGGCCTAAATCTAAGTATTACAAAACGTACTTGTAAAGATGGATGGCGGACTGTTGCTATCAGCTTTGCTTGAGTTGAAAAAACAAACCATCAAAATATCTGATGCAGATCTCTTTTAGGAAAAGCAAACAAATAAACAACAACAAAAACAACAGACAAGATTGAGACAGACAAACCTGTTTCAAATCTGAAGTAGAGGTCAGTCCTGCCTGGAGATAAGATAATGGCAAAGATGACCTCCTGAGGCCTTTTTCAGATGGATCTATCTTCCATTATTCTGTTAAAATAAAAAAAAAAAATAGTAAAACATCAGTCAAAAGGATGTCTCTTGCCACAATATTCCCAATTCTGTCAAAATCTGTTGCTCACACTGGTAATTAACTAACCTTCTGTGCCTTTGCACCACTTCCCTTTTTCTTAGTAGAAAAATTTTTGCTGTCAGTCCAAAGCCCAACACTTTCATATTGTAACATAAAATCTAATTTAATTATTGGCTAGTTAACTAAGGGAATACCTTATCTATATGGAATGCCTAATGCCACATGTCTGCTGTGCATCTAATGTATACCACTCTTTTTAGCCTCCCTCTTCTATCTGTGATAATTATAAACCATGACTATAATTACATCCTTTTAAAGTACTTATAATTTATTAAGTTCTGCTGCATTCAGTGGCCGTGTTGGTTATCTGGCAGTACAACATATTTGGGGCTGTGCAATGTCAGGTCACTAATCTCCCTCTTGCACTCCGGCCTGTCAGCCACATGAGAGTGACTCACTTTCTGCAAACCTCCTGTTACTTAGTAGCTGTAATGTGAAAATGTTGCGAAAGTAGTTAGGAGGTAAAAAGAGGAAGAGGGCTGGGAGGCAGGGTGATCCTGGCTGCCTAAAAGCACATCATTTCATCTAATTAGGGGAAGAATTTTCCCTGCTTCCTCCCTGACACAGGGTACATGAATTTACATGCTCTGCTCCACTCTGTTCTCTGCAGCATCCAGTAGTGTTAGTTATGCTTGCGGCCATTCACTGCAAGCACTTATTTATTTACTTCTGTGTTCCTCTTTCTCTGTTAGTAGTATCTCTTTGTTACCTAGGGAACCGCCATGTACTTTCTTTCCTCTTTGGAATTCCATGATGCCATGCTCAAGGTTCCAGGTAGTGCAGTGCCTAAGGTACTGTATGTCTGAAACCTGTTGTGCCAGGCCTGCGTTACAGTACTGGCACAGCACGATGACTCACACAGAAAACATGCAGGACCAAAGAATAATAAAATAATAATAAAAGCTGTACCAGTGCATTTAGTTTTGCTGCAGATAGGCTGAATTTGAGGTAGCCAGGTGGATTTAATTCCCAGTATTTAGTTGGGATAGTTGTTGTATAGCTTTTTCAACAAAAAGGAACTCCAGAAATAATACTTGCCAAACTTTTGTATCTGTATCCCAATCAGAATTGTAGAAGGGTAATACTTTGCCTTCCAGTGAATGGAAAGACAGAGAGAGCTTAAAGAGTGGCTTTGTGAGCAGGAAATGATAATAGTTAATTTCTTTGTGAAGCACTGAGATTGCTATGCAGTAATTTACAGGTCACTAGAAAGTCCTAAAGAATCCTAGGCTTTAGCTTGGACTTTTCAAAAGACAGGCATAGGAAGCATTCTCCATCCCAAAAAATTATTCCTTAAAAGCAGGGAAAGCACGTCAGTCTTACTACTCCTTGCTCCTCTGTATCAGAGCTAATTTATACCTGACTGCAACCAGCACAAATTGCAGCAGTTTCTACTGCGCTGGTATGTGAGTCAGTGAGTAGGGGGGTGACTGAGTCAAACTCAGCCTAGATCCTCTCCTCCCACTCCCTACCCAGCTGCTGCCTGTTTACTCCTTTGGGTTTAGCCCATGATCCTGGCAGCCTACACAGAAAGTTAGAAACAGTGGATGTTCTTACTCCTCTGCCTGATAGCAGAGGGGTATTCTAAACGTAGCGCACCGTGTCAGTGTGAACTTCACCAGTTCTGTACAGAGATGGGACGTGGATATTTGCTTAAGGATCTAGAGGCTGAAAATAGAGTTTTTGAATCTGGATTATCTGGCAGATCAAGATGTTCAGCGTTATTGTCTTGTGCAAATGTACACTGGCTTGGACTCCTGAATTTGTGAAATGTTTGTTAGATATTTACATGTTGCCTCTATAGCTTCCAAGGCAAACTATGTTTCCATCTAATATGGAGGGTAAAACAACAGCAATGATCCTGACTGCATTTTCAGAGCATTTATCACTTCATTCTTGAAGTGAAGAAGTTTAATTGCCCAGGCACTGAGCAAAGCTTTGTTTTGTCATGTTTCCTCCTTCCCATAGCCTAGTATGCTTTGGGGATTTTCATTAATCCAGCCTTGTTTCAGTTAACCAGGATTTGATTTCTCTGGTGAAACTTTTCTTTGTTTTGGGATTTTGTTTGTTTTTACGTTGTTGTTGTTTGTTTTTTAATACCCAGGGCAAAACTGAAGGCTCTCAAAGGGATTGGATTAAGAAGCAAACACAAGGGGCTGATGGAGGATAAGGATTGTTAACTGGAATCTGGTACTTTTTGTAAGAGCAGTTTGTTTATGTGTACCTTTAAATGATTTGAAATTCAGCTGAGTGCTGAATTGTTGAAGTATTTTTCTTCAACCAATTCGGACAATTCTTCAACCAATTTTTCAACTAATTCTTCAACCATTTTGTGACAAAAGCAGATTGAAGAGCTGATTTTTGCACCAGTTTTATTTGTGCAAAAAGAAAGTTTTTCAGCAGATGAAGAGGAATTTTTGTAAGCACCCAAGGCCTGGTAATTCTGAAATCTTGTGAATAATGGTATGGTCAGTCCTATCCAGAAAATGAAGAGAATACTTCTTTTTTAAAACTTGTCTTTTAGTGCAATACAGTCTTTGGATACATTGTACTGAATGTATTTTTAGTTACTAACTATAATTAGTATTTCATATGATGAGTTTTCTGCAGTTTTTACTGATCCGTTAATTGCAATCCAGAGTAGTTTGATGCAAATTAAGAACTTAAACAAAATTTAGGAGGCAATAAATGATGTATGTATTTTTACACTATAATGTTAATGTCACTGTAAACATTAGGCTAAAAAATATGTAAGATAATTTTTATACCTGTATTTGCTTTAATTCCATAATCAAATCTTTTTTAGGATAAAGATTGTTATAATAGTTTCAAATAGTCAAATTAATCCCTTTCTGAGAAAAAACCTAAACAGTATGGAACTACAGTTGGTAACGTTTTGTTCAGTACAGGGAAGTTACCCCAAAGGGAGATTGTTTTCTTTAGAGTTGTTTAATTACTTCAGTGCTCTGTATTTAAGCATGTATATTTGTAGTCCTTGTAGCTGTGAAATGTTGGAATAACTCATCACCTAACACAAGCATATATTAGACAGTTGGCTTTAGGGTGTTATCTTCAATTTTAATTTGTGAACCTAAAATGTGTATGCCAACACCCTGCCTCGTCCTTCAGGCAAATCTGTCTGACTGTCTGCAAAGCTTGGTCAGTGGTTAACACATGAATCAATATCCCTGCATTGTGTTGAGCTCATCTAAGCCACAGCCTTTGCAAAAGATGACAGCAAGGGGAAAGGATCTAAAAAATCTGAAATGCTGATATCTCAGAAAAGGAATCTGCATTGTGCTACTTTTCTGACTAACAGAGACCTCACCCGAGTCACCACAACTGGGTGTTGTGAAGACTGCAATTTATGAAAATTATGGCAATAATGCAACTCTTTCTGGCAAATTTTTTGTCACATAAATCATTTGGCTGTACTAATTGGCTTAAGAATTTGGGTGCTTTGGGCCTTGTATTTGGCGTGAATATAAGATACTGGAGAAAATAAATCAGTTATTACTAGCGTAACAAGTGATGATCAAATTAAAGATGATGTCTTAAGGTTCCTCTGCTTTTCCTCCATGTACATATTTAGCACACCATATGGTCAACACAGTCATAATAAACTGATGAGAGTATTTAATTAAATGTGTTCCCAGGACTTTAAATGCAGGGTATTATCTTTGGCTGATGAGCAGCGTAAATATTTAGTAATAAGGGAGAGCCCTTGTAGGACATTGCCAGTAATACATGAAAATCACATTTGGGAACAGAAATGTGTTCAAAGCAGAACTTTCTTCACAAAATTAACACATCTCAAAATGCTAATTCCTTTTATATGTGATTTTTTTTCTTACCACCAATTCACTATTACTCATTACTACGCAATTATTACAAATAGCATGAGAAATCATTTTAAAATTGATAGTTCTAGAATGCAGTGAGCCTAAGTTAGCCTGCAGCCATTTAATTGGCAATGATCATGTTTTTACTGAATAAGGAAGGTCTCAGGTAAGAGCAACATCTTCGTTAAAACAGTGGCTGTTCCCTGGCAGTAAGGGAAGCCTTTTGGTCTTCTTAAGAGTTGATTCTATTCCCCCTGAAATTTCAGAGAGCTGGAAACACCCTTCTGTAACATTTCCATCCACAGGTATGCAAATGTCTATTAACTCAGTAGAGACACCTCTCTGTCAACAGCCTAATTAGCTTTTCACTCTATCAGTTCTATGGTATCATGACCTTCTTTGCTTCCATAGAGCAGCTTTGTTTCCCTGTGAAAGTGAGATTAGCAGAATGAGAGCAAGGATAAAATTAACCTGGAGGTGGGGAACAGTGACCAAAGAGAAGATCAGCTAGAAATCTGAAGGAAATACAGTTATTGGGCAGCAGGTCTGAAACTGAAGTCCCTTATCGAGTGTGTGCATCTCTGAACTAAGTAGGTCTCTAATCAGTGTTATCTAACCAGGGTTTTCTTTTGAATAGACCTGTCACCTCACAGGCATGACAATTTACTTGTAAGAAGCTGAGAACCTAATTCTGAAGGACACTTATTTGATATTTTTGTTACTGTTGGAAGTAAAGTGGCCTTTTTTTCTCTGAACTTCTCCTGGCATAATTAGTGCATGCTTCTGAAAGAGTTACAGAACCTGGCACTCTTATTTTGCTAAAGGAAAAGTAAAAATCTTGGCAGGAGGTGTTGCAGTATAGTTTACATATCCAGCTTTCTGGCTACACACAAGAACATGTACTTTCCCAGACAGAAACACAGCAGCCCACCCATGTCTGCGCCAGCCGTGTATTCCTGTTAAGTTTGTACAGGTAAACGTAAGCTGAGAAAGGCCCATAACTTCAAGGAGTTAAAGATGGCATGAAAGTAGGTTGGCACAGAATTTTAGTTTGGTTAGATTGGGTTTTGTTGGGACTGTGTCAAACAGTGCATGGTTAAACTGATTGAAAAACTTGCTCTGGTGTTGGCTAAACTGACATTCTGTAGAAATAAGATCCTATTTGGAAGAATCTAATTGTCGGAAAACATGGAACTAGTAAATCCTTCCAGGAAGGAACATGAGGTAATGACCTTAAGTTGCATCAGGGAGGTTTTGGTTGGATATTAGGAAAAAATTATTCTCAGAAAGAGTGGTAATGCACTGGAGTAAGTTGCCAAGAGAGGTGGTGGATGCACCTTCCCTGGAGGTGTTCAAGAACCACGGAGATGTGGCACTGAGGGACATGGTTAGTGGGCATAGTGAGATGGTTGATGGTTAGAACTGATGATCTTAGAGGTCTTTTTCAACCTCAGTGACTCTATGAAGCAGAAGACTGTTAATGTTGTCACTAGAAATTCTCCTTTGCAAATCAGCAAAGGAGAAAAATTATTGTAGCTATTACTGCACAATAAATAAAGCAAATTCAAAACTAACAGCAAACCCCCAGTGCTGTAGAGCTCTATTATTTCCTTAGAGATCATCCCTGTCTTAAAGCTTTCAGATGCATCTGAATTCACAAATGAACACTGCACCAGGAACAACTGTGAGCCATTTGTTTCTACAGTTACTGCACTGACATGTTGAGTCACTAAAATAGTGTATGAATTTGCACGTGTGGTTAATTTTCATCACTTTTTTAGAGTTAAGTCACAACAGTACATTGCTGTCGTCTGAAGTGGTCTGATTATTATTATTATTAATAATAATTAGGTACAGTTTGTTTTGTTTTAATGCCTTCTGACAAACCCCACTTATGCAGACTAGCCCTAATGGATAGATGCCTTTCAGAGGAATAAAAATGCAAGAACAGCATCTTAAATATACCTAAGTTTGGCTACAACAGCAAATATGTACTACAAAAATACAGTACCTGGACAGTTGGAAAAAAAAAAAGTAAAGAGGAAGAAAAGCAGTGCAATTTCCTATCTTATTAGAATGACGGAGAAGGGCTTGAGGAAAGAGGAATCAGACTGCGATTTATAGAAAATTGCTTCCTTCATTCGACTTGTTATAGCAATCATTAGTCAAATCTGCTGCTGCACTGATTCACTTTCATTGCCCCCTCTGCTGAGCTTTGCCAGCTGATACCAGCTTAAGGTGTCTGATATTCACACTTTTTTCTTGCTGTAACCCTTAACCATGTGTGTTTGTCACTCTTTATGTCTGAGAGGTCAGAAATGATTCCTGCTCTTAGAAGTAGTTTGTGAACTTTGCTTTGTGTTCAGTAACTGAAGAAGAGGGGAGCAGGAGGATGGTAAGGAAGGGGCCTAGACTGCTTTGCTCTGCCTTCCCGTGCCACTAAGCAAGTCATCTAATCTCCTTGTATCTCAATTTCCCAGGTGTATGTAGGGATAATAGCTTTTCCTTTGCTTCTTGCAATGATTTTAGGATAATGACTTTGAAGGCCCCGCAGGTGATACTTTATAAACGTTTTGGGTGCGTAAAACATGTTGCTGAAAACAGCTCTCGAGGTCCTGATGTAAACCATACCAAAGCTTCTCTCATGCGTGGTGATGGCTCTGCATCATGTGTCTCTCTTCCCTAATCTGACTAACACAAAAATTTCTCTTATACAGTTCACACAGATGAAAAAAAATAAAAGTGTATGTCCATCAAATGTTCCCAAACGTTAGATACATGGTCATCCTTAATGTTCTCTCAACTGGTGCTGAAATGGAGAACTTTAATGCTAGATACCTCAAATATTCTCTTCTTTAGAGCTGCAGCTCCCTTTTACTGTTAGAGCTAAGAAGTAAATTGCTTCCAAAACATCCAGGTGAGATGAGAAATTTGTTAGTCATGAATTTGACCTACCAGCTTCAGGCCCTGCAAGTAACCAGAAGAACTGAGGAAATCTGAGTCAGCTGAGATCATTTTAGTGAATCACTAGGACAGTGCCAAACATTTCTTCATAGCTGGCTGTGTACATACACAGATCCAGCACCTGCTTTCAATTGGTGAGATTGCTTATGTGCTAACTGGCATGCTGAGGAGCAACGTAACTGATGTTACATAAAAGAATGACCTCCCGGCAGAGCTCTGAGGAAAAGGTTTGGTAAGAGCAGATTGCACTGAAGGCAGCACCCAGATCTGATTGCTCTTGTATTAGATTTTACGTAATTAATTAAGATGTAGCTGTTAATTACAAGCTTGCAGTACCTTAGCATAAAGGTTCTCTTTGGTAGTTACCTTAGCTCCTGCTGGATAGTAAAGGCAAATATAAAAATACAAATTCCTGTTACTGAGAAAGCAGAGAAACTCCAAGAAATACAACTGAAACAAAATTAGATGATAGCAAGGAGCTGGAAGAAAACAAACTGGGAAGTATCTACTTTATGCTATATCATTTTAAGGCCTGTCTGGGAAGTATATTTAAAAAAAAAAAAAAAAAAAAAGGTGAAAATTACTTGGCAGAAAAGGTATACAGCAGCATACAGGTATGACCAAGAACACTGTTGCACTTATAAGCTCTGCTTATTTGTGGAAACATGTGGCTAATAACACTTCTCATATATTTCACTTCCATAGTGTTCAGAATGCTAGCAGTCCATAGCACAAGAGTGGGTCTTTGTTAGCATTATTAGTAGTGAGCAGCATGACACATTTCCCTAGAAAAAAATACTGGTTTGTGTTGACTGAGAAAAAGCCAATTATTTCCTTGACTGAAAAAAACATTAACAATTTAAATTTTTATTCAGTTGTTGTACTAGGAACTCCTTTTGAAGTTCATAATGCTCCAACGTGATCATGCTTTGCATTATTTGGGCTTGTATATGTTATGGTTGGATTTTGATCCTTTGTGACAACAGTGTAGACTCAGAATAAATCCCGTTACAGGTGGCAGCAGCATCCGTTCTTTTATGTTTTTAATAATGACTGTGAGATCCTTAAAGCATGAACAATTTGTGTACAGTTCAAATTATTGTCTTTCAGCTGAAGCTTGATGATGACATTCTCACATGCAGTAGGAAAAAGAAAGTGTAAAATGCAGCAGTGCTCCAGGTCTGCTGCAAACAGCAGCTCCATCACTGGGAGTCTGTGTGAGGGTCAGAATTATCTGTAGGGATCTCAGCCCAGAGGCAATGCTGTCAAACTGGATTTTGCAGCTCAAGGTACTTTTAGAGAACTAACTTTAGGTGCCTCTAGGCACTCTGACAGTGTCTTAATGGGGCCATAATTCTAACAGCATTAATCAGACCCCAGGATGTAATAGGGAATGATTCATAGAGAAACACAGTGTTCTTTCAGTCCATCACTGTGGGAAGGCATTGATAATGCATGAGTGGGATTTGTGATATTTTTTCAGTTCACATGCTTACGGATTTCCTCTGCAGCTTCAGGAAAGGTTTTATTTCCCTGCAGGAAGCAGTGGCAGAGTCCCTTGAAAGGAAAGGTGAGGTTTCACACACCAGAAGTATGGGTGTGAATAACAACTGGCTAAGGCTGACAGACCCTGCTCAGGCTGGCAGGGTGTCATGGCTGCATAAGCTCACGGAGGGAGACTGACCTGATCTTTTGCATTCTAAAGGACTTTTGTTCTGTCTGAAGTTGTTTTAAAGCAACCTTGGGGGAAACCATATTGATACTTAAAAAAAGGGATGATGCTTGTAAGATCGAGGCTCTTTTAATAGCATTGCTGCAAATATTAATCCAGTGTTCAAGACAAGCATTCAAGCCTGGCTAGGTGTTCTGCTGGGGCATTTGGTGACCACCAGAGTGTTGGTTAAGCATTGCTCAGTGCTTTAGATGAATAACGCGACACTGTGTGCAATTCTGACCCACTTCCTCCTCCATTTCTTTCTCCTCTCCTTTTGTTTTTCTTTACTTGGTTATCCTTCAGCCTGACACTGAGGATCAAGGGAATGCATCGTTCAGTGCGCTGAGGAAGAAGATGGGGTTGCAGCCCTGGCTCCTATATCAGCTAGGAAGGCAAACAGTTTGATACAGTTCTGACAAAATGTGTGTGAAAATGAATTGCAGAACATGGGAACATGGGACATCAGTGTTGTGATTCAGGAATGTAGAAGGGGTGTTGTCAGACAGTGGACACCTCCTTTCGACTTATCCTAAAAAAAGAGTAGTGAATAAATGAAAATAGTTTCAGACACTTTTTATGTTTTTAATCTAGGTCTGCTCCAGCTCCTACCCAAGGACCCACTGGTGCTGGGGCTGCAGGACCACTTCCTGCTACTAATGTGTCAAGTAACAAAAGGCTGCAGCAGACACAAGCCCAAGTGGATGAAGTAAGTGGCTTCACATGATCAGTTGCTCACCCCAAGGCTGCTCATGTGATTGTTTTTTGGTTTTTTTTCTTCCTTTAAGATGTTTGCCTCACTAGTGATCCAGCAACTCCTTGTCTGAAGACACTGGGTCTAGGAAATGATATTTACCAAAGAATAGCATTTATGAAGAGGCAGACTGTGCTCAGAATGTCTCATGTACTAATGTACCAGTAACACTTCTGCAGAACAGATATGGACATCAGTACTGTTTCAGAAATTTGTCCTAGAAGGTCATGTTAGGAGGAGAAGTCATAGTGAATCAGATCTTTTAATGTATTCCTGTATTCCTAAAGTTTGAATGCTAATCTTACAGGCTGTTTCATACAAACAAACCATTGGCCTCTTGTTCATACATGTAGGCTTTGAAAATTGTACTGGTGAGGGCTGTGTTTATTAGTCAGAGCTGTAATGATTAATCATTACAATTCACCCCCACAGAAGGGCGCCCACACATGACATCACAACATCTTCAACAAGTCCTCACTCCTTCTGGCTGACCTTAGAGGAATATGTGCCTATTCCAGCATGGCTTCTTAAATTATTTAATGTATAGAAAATCCCTGTCCCCTCACCTATAATGCCAGTGTCCATCTAATCGCTGTGGTAATAGGAATAAGTGAGGATACCACTGCTTGTGAGTATCGTCCCTGAGTGTACCAGCCATCCTGCCCCAGCTGCAGCATCCCTGCACACTTGCTGTGCACATTTGCTGTGCTGGATATTTAGCATAGAGTTTTGCTGAACCCGTGCAGAGACTTAAGTAACTAATTGCTTACTGCCCATGAGGAAATTACCAGGGCCTGTATGACTCTTTTATGCCAGGTCAATAAAATACAAGCTAAAAAATGACTATTTACGTGCATAAAGGCTTCTATTTTCAAAAGCTCAGGATAAACTAAAAAAGATCTCACAACTTGAACTCAAATGCCTTTCTGAAGATGAATTAAATACACCTGTCAAATTGAGCTTTGTCTCTGAGAAGTTTTTTTGCTGAAGGTCAGAACCGGACTCTTTCTCCTCCCTTTTGCTGATGCTTGGAGTTGATCCCAAGAACATCCTCTGTATACAGAAATGCCTAGGTTCAGTTCTCTCATTGTTACCAACTTTCACTTCAGTGTAACTTCACTGATGTTGAGTGACTCTTGAAGTAGGGAAAAGAGTATTACATTTCAACATCAGTCTAAGGTCAGAATAATTGAAATAAACTTCTTGTCCTGAACGTACTACATCATGATGGTGCTGTAAATGTTTATGTGAGTGACAACCAAAGTAACTGTCCCTGGAAGATGACAAATAATTGCTAGTTATAATTTAAAAAGAGTGATGCAGGTCAGACACATTGGGCTTTTCAAACAAATCAATGGATAAGGCTCCAGTGAGGCTAGTGAAAACCCACTCTGTGTTTGAGATAATCTGTATTCTGATACTTTTCACTCAAGTCAATGCAAGTTTGTCTTCTTGTGCTAAGTAAAAATTTATTTTGACAGAAACTCTTATCGAGTAAGAGAGAGGAGTGTGTAGCTCTTGGATTGGAGGATTATACAGATAATAGTGAGGACCTGAATTTTTTTCAACTCCAGTTGGAGAAGAAGGCAGAAATTGGTATGAGCTGGTTTTGAGCAGCTAGCATGTGGTGAGCAGATACTGATAATCATTGAATGTGAATATAGGAATAGCCAAGGGAGAAAAGCACTACGAGACTTTCTGTCCTATGAAGTCACTGGGTATTATAGCACCTACGGTTCTGATCTATGAAGCACTGATTTGATCTTCCTTGCTAGATTTATATTGGCCATTTTCCTTTTATGTCTTGTGAGAAAGTAATCTGTAGGTGGCAGCAAACACCACGGCAGAGTGCACTGGCTATTTTTCTGCTCCCAGCGCTGTTGCACACAGCACTCCAGATGTGAACCCTAAACTCAGTGGTCACAGCTTTGATTGAGAGCGCATTTTTGATATTATTAAAATGATTGGCAGTCCTCTGAAATCAGCATTTCAGCTATATCTATGTTGGGTTTTCTCCTGTAATTTCTCTAGGCATCCTAGATCTTATTTTTCAAGGCTTAGATTGTGCTTTTAGGCTAGACAAACATTTATTTATTTGATAGAAATACTGTCTTGGCTGGATACTCAGGTTAAATTCAATAAATAGTTCTGGAAAAAAAAAAAAAAAAAAAAAAAAAAGTAGAGAAGAAGTAGAAATTTTACAGTATTGTGTTTCAGCATTTCCCAGAGAGTTTAAAATTGTAACTATGAAACAGAGTACCAAGACAAATTTTAAAGAAACACTAGCTGATAAATGATTTTATTTTAATTTTTTGTTAAGTTTGACATGGAATCAAATGTTTAGAAGGAAACACAAGTAAGAAAAACAAAGTAAGAAAATTTTGTTTTAAGTTTGGACAAAGGAAACAAATCTCTTGCGTTTTGGAGTAGCGCTTAGACCAGTGTCAATCTTTTTAAATATTCTTTCACTATTGGTGTCTACTCAAAGTATATAAATCAAGTATATGTATGATTCTGCTTTTGTTGGTTTTTTGTTTGTTTGTTTGTTTGTCTGTTTTGTTTTTGATTTTTTTTTCCATAGTTAAATTGCATTGTATGCAAATAATATGATTTCCGTATTACAGACCAGGAGAAGTTAGCATACCAGCAACCATTTTCACTGCTAGAATAAGTAGACACAACTTTACTGAGATTTGTGTGCCATCTAACTTTTATACTAGTGATGAATTTATCCAGGATTTCTATTTAGGATTATAAGTTTTCTGGAAGGGATTTTCCTCTAACTCAAATTATAAGATGTATGCATGAATAGACCTTACCCATTATGTACTGGCTGTGCACACTTTTTGCTGAAGATGTGCGCTGAGAGCATGTGAGCTTCCTGCTACCCTTCGGAAGAATTTTGGCAGGTAAGGTATTTCATCTCCTCCGCTTTCCAGCAGGACTTCAAATTTTGTCTGAGAAGGCATCTTGTCTGGGAAAAACCTGTAGAACAAACAAATTCCTTGGTCAGAAAAGGCATATCTTTTCTCTTACCATGGCTTTATCTAGTCGATTTCTCTAGTTCAAATAAGGAAATTATATTAACTGAATTAATTATATTGAATGTATAAGGAAAATAATAACTTGGGTTTACTGATAACTGGACGATTGCCAACCAAACTGTAGTAGAGGTACAGATCTCTGTCAGTTTTTTTGCATCTGTAGTGAAGCACCTAGTAGGCTAAAGGGAATCAAAAGCTTTAATGAATTTAATTACTGTACTTCAAAATGTCCCTTTACTTTTAAGTGCATCTGAGCATGGAATAGCTATGTTCATCCTGTTTTCACTGTGTCTGTTTTCATAGACATGGCTTTTGAGACTCTGTCCAAGTATTTGTCATCATATATTGTAATGGCAAAAACCTGCTTTCATCACAGTATGATGTGTGTTAGAGTGTGAACATATGGGTGACCCTTGGCTTTACTATATGTTGAATCTAAAGTGGGGGTATGCCTTTGCAGGTGGTAGACATCATGAGAATGAACGTGGACAAGGTGCTAGAAAGAGACCAGAAGCTCTCAGAGCTTGACAACCGGGCAGATGCATTGCAAGCAGGTGCCTCACAGTTTGAAACCAGTGCAGCCAAACTGAAGAGAAAATATTGGTGGAAAAATTGCAAGGTAAGGAGTATAAGGCTCTCTTGTTAAGACATTACCCTTTCTTGCATGTACTGGGACTTTGCTTGTAAGATGGGATCTTTAAATAGTCTCTTATCAAGGGGAGAAGTAGGTGCCTTGCCCTCTATGTTGCATGACCACAAACCACTGTGAGAAGTGAGGAAATGACAGTGTCTTTTAAAGTGGGTTAGATTAGGACAGGGTAGATCTTGAAACAACCATCTGTCTTCTCTACTGTCCTCAAAGTCTCATTCTTTCCCTTAAGCTTAGAGAACCACTCTCTCCTCTGCCTTTTCAGACCTTTTCCACTAGCAGGATATGAATATTGTGGCAAAAGTTCACCTGATGTCCCATTTCTCTTCAACACTATCTTTGCTGCTGACTACTGATGGCCACTCATATAATAAAACCTGTTCCCAAAGGAGAATCCAAAATGCATTTTTATTAATCTGTTGATGCCTGCTTTATCTCTTCAGTCGACAGTGCTATGATGTGTAAAGCAAGGCAGAATATTCTGTTTAAACTACATACACAAGCACTCCAGAATGAAGTAGATCTAGGTTAGAAACTCAGCTAAGCAGTTTCTCTGAGCCTATTCTAAACTGTTACCCAGTTGTTTTGCCCAGGTGTGCAGGAAGCAGGGCATTCTGGACCTACAGACCCAGATTTTGTGCTAGGTTCACCCACACTGAACTCAGTCACCATAGTGATCTATACTACACTAGACCTTCAAACCAGCTCTCATTCTCCTTTCTTCATTCTCCCTTTCTCCTTATGCTGACAAACAGAACCCTTCTTTCTTTCCTATGACTTCCAGTCTCGGTTAAGTAGGGGGAGCAATAAATAGACTTCCTGCAAATCAGCAGATTTTTCTGTCCTCTAGACATATGTTGTGAGGAATGAAGATCTTGACTCGAAATGTCCATATGCTTTTTAAAGTTGTTATTATTATTCCTATTCTCATTGGGCTAATGATGTGAATTGGGCTGCAGCATCTTTGGTGTCCTCACTAGCATCCATCAAATCTAACATAGGGGCCTCTAACTCAGTGCTGGTACATGTCTGTGCACAGCTGGCCCTGATGAATCTGCTCCTTACTATCCAGTGAGACATTTCTAGGCTAATGTGCTGGAAACCATGTGGCTGGTGTGGGCTACCTCTCAACAGCACAAGTACACAAAACCAGCAAAAATAACTGCTAGACATCAGACTTCTCCAGCCACCTCTTTCCTGACTAGGGAAACATGGTGGAAAGTGGTCAAGGTACTCTGGTATAAAGTGGTACCTAGATCAGAAAATCTCCCAAGTTAGAAGGGATCCCCAAGAATCATTAACTTTAACTCCTAGCTCCACACAGGACCTCCCAGAATTCCAATATATGTCTGAGAGAGTTGTCCAAACACTTCTTGAACATCTTCAGCATGGGGTTTTGCCTACCGCCCTGGGAGCCTGTTCCAGTGCCCAACCATCTCCGTGGTTTTGGAGAACCTTCTCCTAACTGAACCATGTGTGAATCCAGCCAGAGGGAACACATTTGCTTAAGTCATATCTGGAGTTGTATTACTTTAGAAGTCTATTTTTACTTTACTGCTGGAAATGGTTAAGTTTGGTCATTGCATCTTAGCTGATGAGCAAGAACTTGATAGCTTTGACAAGAGGGTAAGTCCGTTGCTGGAGGTCAGCTCTTCCTAAATTTGATACCAAGTCTGGGGCTTTAACAAGTCTTCTACGCTGGGTCTTTGCAAGAAGTAACACAGAAAGGGCTGTTAAATAAAAGCAAAAAACTCTGCCACTGTATTTCATCTGAAAACCTGATTTTCTCTTTTTTCTTGTAACTTTCTTTGAATAGATGATGATCATCCTTGGTGTAGTATGCACAGCCATTCTCATTATAATTATAAGTGAGTAATTCATTTTCTCTTTCATTTATGATCTGAATAGCTCTGTCACTTGTGAAGTGCTGATGTATTAGAAAACAAAACAAAATTTAAAAGGATATAAAATATTTAAATAGATTAATTTGTGAAATTCCCCTTCAAGAGTCATGCTGGTATAGTGAGAATTACTGCAAGCTCATTAGACACATATAGGTAGAATTTATTGATGTTTAATGTATTTTACCTTAGCTTGTTATATAACTTTCCCCAGGATTAAAGGCTCACCCTTTTCATGTTTATATATCTTTTTTATGCAGTCTCAGATATCTTAATTAGAATCAGGGCTACAGCCATAGTTGTTTCTAGTGAGAACAGTAATTGTTGAATTAGCTCATACCTATCACTAGGAGGGTGAAGGCCCGCATGGCAAATGGGCGTTTAATGAATTCCCCAGTTCCCACCAAATTAGTTGGAATTTGAGACGTTGCTGCTTCTAAAAATCCCTTTGCATCATAAATACTTCAATATTGGTAACAGATCGTGCAAAGACACGCTGCTTTAATGTCTTCAAAGATCATCTCCTTTTACACAGTTATTGTAGGAAGAGAGCATATAAATGAATAATGGCAGTCATGCTGGTTGGGAGCCAGGGATCTGGTAATGACAGGAATTAAACATTTTATTTATGTAACCTCTGGGCTAGCAACAGCCGTTACATGACATAACAGTAACATGGTATTAACTCCAAAAAGGGAGATTTCTTGAGTTAGATACAGCTGGTAACCCACAGGCAATTCACCAGGAGGCTACACTGTGGATGGGAATTAATTCCCAGCTCTCAAATTACATGCCTCACCTTTGGCATGTTTCCATTTTCCCGTTATTTCTGTAAAGGAGGCTTACAGAATCACCTGTAAACATAACTGAATGGATTGAGATACAGGTGGAAGTTTATTAGTCTTATGAATGCTGGCACCAGAGTGACCCAGAATGATTGTAGGGTTTCATAACTCTAATACAGCGAGAATGAGAACTGGCTAGATATTAATTAACTATATTAACCGGGCACTCGAGGTGAGTGGCTTCAAGAGAAAGACAGGCCTTTGTTCTGAAGTTTAGTGCAGCAACCTGAGAAGACAGATATGCAGCCATTGAATTGCTTGCTGTGTGTATATATATATATCATTGAGCACTCTATATCTTAACAAGAAAGTAAAAAACAGACAAGATAGCTAATAATTTCTCCTTAAAAGTTAACTCTGAAATTATGTATGAGTGATAACGTTGTTTTCCTCCTGGTTTTAAATGCTGAGTGCCTGCCTTGGTAAGTCTGGAAACAGAAGTAGCAAGTTTGACATGCTTAGGTTGGATTCAGTATTTAATCACAAATGTGAGCGTCACATCATCAAACTGGGGTCTGCGTATTGAACTCAAAGGTGTCTTCATTTACAGCAGTTCTCAAGTATATTTGTAAATTCAGTTATCATCAAGTGTTCAGTAGGCTGCCATAGACAAGGCATGTAATCGATGTGAATGTCAACAAGATATCTGCAGTGCCAGGCTGGTTATAGACACAGATAAACTGGGTAGTTCCTCACAGTAAGCAACAAACTACAACTGGTAACGTGATCCAAGCTGAGCTACCTTTCATCTTGGTAGTGAGACCCTGGACGAGTAGGCTGGCTGCCCAAGGAAGATCTACTCCATGTGGGCATGCAGGTATTGCTGGGGGTGGTTGCTCACATCAACATCGCTCCTTGTCTTTTCTATTTCTGGAGCCACAGTTTCCCTGCTTTCCACTCCAGTTCTCCCTTTAAATGCATTTTGGGATGGGAGTCACAGTTCTATTCCAAGCAGGAAGGCACAATGTTAAACCCTGTGTTCTTTCAGCAAAAGATGTGCTTGTCATCCTCAGATAGAACAAGCTTCTGTGAGATAAAGCACAGTGGTAACTCTGTACTAACCAATGTTGTATGTCTTATTTTTCCCCTTCTGCTTCCTTTCTCAGTTTATTTCTCCACTTGAAAAAATGAAGAAGGAAGACTTGGCACAACTTTGTTCGTATCAACCAACAATATCAGTGTTCCTTTGTTGAACTCCGCTTTTTAATTCCTGGTGTCTTGGGATTTTTGCTTCTAATAATGTATAAGCATTCAGTGTGGTGTGTTTTGGAATTCTGTTGTTTCCACAAGAAACTGTACCAGCTAAATACTGCCAAGTAGTTCCATACACTGTCTTATCACTGTGTCTTAAAATGTGCACGCACTGACCTTCAGAAACCGTAGTATAAGAAAAGCATCCTAAATATCTCAGAATTGGAGAATGCAGCTGTAGGAGAGTTCCTGCGTAAAGGGACACTGTCAGGTTTCAGCAAACATGAGGGCCAAAATTCTTAGTCTGAGTACCTAAAGCTGCGTGGCAAAATCCACTATCAGATGCAGCTTTTTGAGGTAGCAAGTGTCTGCTGCACTGGAGAATGGTACTTGCAGCTATTCATAGAATGTGTAAGACGTCTCTACTTAGCCAACCAATCACATATGTTTTTGAAATTAAATGTGATATCCATCTAAAAACATTACCTGCAGAAAATAAATATATCTGCATTTTATGGATTTAATTTTTCCCTTGCAGTATGTTCTGAGCAACTGAGATGGCCTCAGTGTGAAAGACAGAAAGAAGACTGTTCGACACCAAAAAATGTTAGCTAGCACAATCTTGAAAAAGCTCAGTGAAATGCAGAAATGGTAATGCAAGCACCATAAATAACCAAGATGCAGATTCTTGCTAAGGACTCAAGGTAGTGTCTGTCACAATTCACAGAACTCTCTTGAATGACAAACTCCAATGCTTATAGCTCTAACTTGAGTATATAAATGACTTGGGTGATGTCTGTGGCTTCCCATCACAACTGTAAGAAGCTGGTTCTACACCATTTTGCAGAAATGGTTCCCTTTGTGAGGATCAGTTAAAAATCGGGAAGAGGAGGATGCAGTAACAGAAGGAACTGTAGGGACAGAGGCCAGGGAATGGAAATTGGATAGTGCCTAACAAAGCTTTCCTTGAGCAGAGGAAGGCAGAGAAACACTGTTCTAAACTGGAGGTGTTAGTAGGCTTACTTAAATTTAAGTTGTGTTTGTATAGTTTATAAGCTATAACATCATCTTAATAAAGTACTCAGTTCAGATATTTTTCATACTTAAACCAACATTTGATACAATTAAAGTAAAGAATATATTGCATTTGGGGGGAAAGTTGTATGCTATTGTTGTAAGGTTACACCCAAGTGTTTGATTTCTACTTGATTTTTAAGATACTGCACAGTTTGTTTTGAGAAGAATGTGGATAATATCCAGAGAGAATTATACCAATTTTAAGCTTATCTATTTAAACTGGAAACTAGAATTTTCAGATTTTAAGCCAAGCAATCCTGACAGCTCCTTTTTAAGTTGAGATCTTCAGAATTTCTAAGAATTGCTAGATTTTCTTTTTTAAATTTTATTTATTTATTTATTTTTGCCTGCAACTCTGTTAAGGCACATAAATAGCTATATTAGCAGATATGCTCATTGAAGAGCATCTCTCTTAACATGATCTTAGACTTAAAAAAAAGAGAGAACCAGACAAGTTCATTGCAGTAGATCTCAAGTAGAATTTTGTGGAGGGAATAAGCAATGATTAGTTGAATGGTTCCAGCTGCATTGTTTTTCTATATATTTATTACTTCATTTTCACGTGTATTGTTTCATATTGTTAACTAGCAGGTGGCCATGGTCGTAATAAAAGTAACCTTCAAACATTCAAAGTTTCAAAACATTCAAAGTAACTTTCAAAGTTTCTGATGTGCTACTGGTATGCCCTGCTTGCTTCAGTTCATCAGCTAAGTGCATGAACTATTCTAAAATCCTCATGGATCGGACAGAAAATTATGCTGTCATTAAAGGGCCTGACTTTGTGAAATGCTATTATTGTGTGTAATTGAAACTTTTCTGGAAAAAGAATAAGCTATCCAACTTCAGGACCCTTTTTAGACTATTAAGATATTTGGATAACAGAAAGAACTACCTCCTGATGGTGAGACCCTGCCGCCCATACTCACGTTGAGCATGACTTGATCCTCATGGGGCTTCTCTACAGGAATGCTGAAACATCTCATGAGATACAAATAGCTTTCACTGGAGATAGTACAATCAGTAAGGTTATATGATACCATCATACCCATCAGTCTAAAGTGACTGTTTATCTGATGTAAGCAAGAGATACACATGAAGAAGATATGAAGATGCAAAGTTTACAAATGAAACTATAATGAATCTGTAAGAGCTCAGTCCTCTGAGCTCATTAATCTCAAGTTAGTAATCAAAATGGGAGCTTTAGGGGGCAGTGGAGAAGATAAACTGCTGAATGTGTATTCATTCTCCCTCAAAATAGCAACTGACAAGGTTGACTACTACTAGACGCTGGTAAGAATTTGCAAGAGTTTAGTCATGAAACCTAGCCTCTAGTGGGCTGTAAAATGTTCGTGAAGAGGCAATTTCCTCCTGTGTTCTAATAAATTTGCTAAATTAATGTTTTTAAATTGGTTGCCTTATAGTGTGCTTGTGCATGTCCAATGTTCGCTAGCTGTATTGTTTGGTTGCAGCTGGTAAGCCATGTAACATTTCTAATTCAGCCCAAGAAACACGAACAAGTATGTCCTTCTGCACTGTATAGACCTGGAGTCTTACTGCTCCTGCAGATGTTAATTATCTTGCAGTGAGAATATGGTAATAGAGAACAGTTTAAGGTCATGGATTGTGAAACACCATCACTTACACATGGAGTGTGACAGAGGACAATCTATATAAACACAGTTGGAGATCTTATTTGTGTTTAAGCCAGGATTGATTTGTTTTTCAGTCACTGCCTTTATGTTTAAAATGTCCATTCATAATTACAGCTCCCTATATGTAATAGCAAATTTCCCATATAAAGGTTAACTCATTCTTCTTTAGTCAGTACTGGCTAGAATTTCAGTTACTGAGTAGAATTTAAACTATGACTCTTCTTCACTAATTACTGCCCAGGCTCATGCTGGTAAAAAGGCATAAAGTGGCTCCCTTTTATCTACTTCATGGCAAACCCTCAGGAGACTGCAAGGCTGATTAACTTATGATTGCCATCCCGGGGACCAAATGGAAGACTTCTCTGGCTGGAAGCTTTAGCTAGAGTTTTCATAGCTTTAATTTATATTTTGGTAGCTTTAACTGGAGTTAGACTAGTTACACTAGTAACGTAAGAGACTTGCATTCTCAGTACTTATAATCAGCACTTACTCTTCCCCTGATTTCTGGGCTACAGCTGCACTGCTGGCATGATAATGACATTCAGAAACGTCATTGCTGAAATTGGGTGATTAGGAGCTAGTCTGTGTTTGTGTCATAGCTGCTTTTTAGCTTGACTACACATCAATATGTTAGGTTTAAGTAGTGTTATTTGCAGCCACTCTTCACAGAGCAGTAAAGTCCTGCCTGGTCATTATGCCTTCTTCCTTCTAATTTAGCTCACCTTGAAATAACATAAATGTGGCTCTAAACCTAAATATCTGGAATGCAGAACTTGCGGGAGCAAGTAGTGTGAAGTCCAAACAGAGACACCTGATGACATTGTTATGTAACAGCACAGTCAGTCCAACGTAGTTCAACATAATCTGGTATTATTAAATGGAGGAGGGAGAATCTGATGAAGATTCTGAATGTAACTCTAGGGTCTGTAGGACAAGAAGTGATTTCAAAGTTTAGTCAATTTGACTTTTAAAGCTGGTACTTCTGTTCCATTGGAACCTGCATGAAGTAAGGCCTGGCTTTTTTTCTTGGTTAGCAAGGCCTTTTGAAATTCATCATTTGCTGCGTCTCGTTCATTCATTCATTCCTGTCCCTGATTCTCCAACAGACCTTCCTATAACTTTCTGAACAGTCAAGCTACTTTTTGTCTAAATGGGTTTTAGCTCTTATAAGCAAGTTCATGACTCTGACATGCCTTTTAAGAGCATGCATGTAAAACAGTGATGTCTGTTTCTCTGAAGTGCATCTGTCATGGCAGACAGACTTCAGGAACTTTTGGAAGCTCAGGTATTACTGAAATCTTTGTACTTTATGGAGTTTTTTCTCTCTGTCCTATGTGAGGTTACAGACCCAGTGGGCGTATGTATAATCTATTTTTTTTTCATGGCAGTGCCTCTGTTGCTCATGTTGGTGCTAGATCTGCTAGATCTTCACAAAACAAATCAGAGGGCACTTGAGTGTAACCAAGGGCTTACATCTTGACCCCACCTCTCCTGCCTTTTAAGCAGTAGCCATATAAGGCAATGGGCTCACTCCCAATGTACACAGTGAGTATTGGAGAAAGGTCTCAAAGAGGCCAAAGTCTCTTTGGTCTGGATTCAGACCTGAATCTGACCTGACCTGAACCTTAGGACAGTAACAGACTTAACCTTTGGGTTCCCTGTGTAGTCAGAGGAGTTGAGATGTTCTTCTTGGCAGTTATTCTCCCCAGCTGATCTGGAGCCCTTTTGTTAAATGGAATTTATTTGAGCTTGTGTTTCTCCATGCTAGATAAAGTACAAGCACCCTCAAGCACCTGTCTTTAAAAGCTAAAAGGCTGAATAACATTGTTTGAAAATAGCAATTGTATCATGAGAAATAATTGGCTGAAAATGTCTTAGATGATGGCTGTTACTTTCAGTAGGAATACAAGATTGAGATGTATGAAACAGTCCAACAAGAACCTCGCGTTTCCTTTTTCCTTCTTTTCTCCTTCAGAAATTATTCCACTTCAAGAAATGATTTTTTTTCTTCTTCAATTAACTTCCCTTACTTTATTTCATTAATTGATGCTTCCATTGATGTTCTCAGTTGCCTTTTTTCTCCATTGAGAACCAGAAGACTGACACATGCATAAAAAGAGATCTGAGCCACCCAAGAAGCTTACCTTCTTTCCCAATGCACTGACATTTAAAAGCTACATCTTACAGTAAAGTAAAACTGTGGCAGTCTGATTACAAGCAGTTTTGGTAAACACTTGATTATTTAACAATGAGTCATTTCTGCAGTAACCTCATTCTGTCATGACTGTATCACATCTGCTAACTCTCCAAAGCAAAAATCATAACCTGTACTGGTTAAAAACATGAATACAGCCTCATGGTTCATATGTAACACTCTATTCAAGCAAAGAAGCCATGTGCTGTAAGTTTAAAAGGGCAAATTATTTGTTTTCAAAGAGAAAATACCATAGAGAACAACAAAGATAATTACGAAAGGCTGTCCATTCTATAGCTATTCTCACAGTAGCTGGCTTCACCATTATTCTTCAAGTCTTTGTTCTCGCAAAGCCTTTGTGTTTTTGGAGCGTAATATATTTGGAGCATAGCATATTGGGGCTGTTCTGTTGCCCTATGAATTGACTCCCTGCCTTCTGTCCTGTTGTTACTGTTGACCTCAATCGTAGCTGAGTTAGGCCTGAGTGGAGCACAGCCTCCTGCCCATAATGCCCCGTTGTCCTCAAACCAGCCCCTACTGAGGGTATGAGAACACTGAAGGCAGGGCACGGCTCCTGGTTATAATGCAGTTCGAAATGATGCGATAGTGCACAATGCAGTTTTAATTAATTTTTTAGTATTTCTTGGAACAGTAATTCTATCAGTTTTGTTGGAAGACAGAGGAAATGGCAAATAAGGATTGAGTGATAATGACAAAGTAGTAAATGGGGAAATGGTTTAAGTGAAATGTTGCCAACGTTCTGTAGCCTCCTTGGAGAGCCTGTACTTAAGAGCGCCATTCACATGCTAAACTAAGCCGTGCTAGTCTGTTGAAGTGTATATACACTACTACTTCAAATGAGGCAGCTGAATGTACTTCCTTCCACCTTTTTTCTTGAAACTACAGGAGACATACACAGTAACGATTTAGAGTTTTTTGCAAGAGCAGTTCGGGATGTACCACCCCAAGGCATGCTGCCCATGTGCTGCAGAAGTGCTGCAGGACGTGAGTCAAATAAGGGCTCCAGAGTGATCGGTGCATTAAATAGATATACCTCTTGCTGTACACAGCTTCAGTCTGCCAGTAATAACATCTTATTGACACAGCGTCATCTTTTTGTTTACCCTCATTCCATGCTAATATCTATTCTTTTCCACTATTAAACAGTCCATGATGGAAAGGATGGAAAAACTCTGTGCTGAATCCAATACATTTTTGACATCCTGGACGTGTGGTGGTGGTGGTTTGAGCTTGTGGAAAGAGAAGAGTTTAAAAGAACTAACAGTCTTCATTATGTTAATGTATCCTTAGAAATTAGTTTCTCCCCCAATAAGCT